TCTCGCGCTCTTCAGCAATGCTCATGTCACAGCCAGCTTCAGCGAAGCTACGCTCTAGCTTTTCTTGTCTCTTGGATTTCGCTGAACGGCCCATTGTGAAAAAAAAATTTGTTTTTGTATTTTTGAATTTTCGAAAAAAATTATCTGCAAAAATTTCCCGTGGACTCGATCGACGCCTCGATCAACTATCGATCTAATTCTAAATCTATTACGTAACCTATCGTGCGTAGCGGCAAACAACTAAATTTGGCAGAGACAATTCCAAAATAGGCAACTACTCTACGGACACAGTGTAGCTAGACTCTACTACCCAGCTAGCAGATATCCTAACAAGACACTAGACAGCAGCCAGTATGCACAAAACACGGACACAGAAAATGTTACGAAAATGTTTGGCCAGACAGGTTGGCGCCAATGCTTGACCTATGGACTGTAAACCATGGTAAACAATGCATGCAACAAGAAAACGACGAGCAGAAAGAAACACAATGCAGATAGGAAAATATTGACGAAGAGAGTGGATGAGGATATGGTTTCACTTGCGTGGGCCTTCGTGGTACTTCATAGTCGGCGATCTCCGAAGGCGTACATACTCCGCCAGCGATGTAGTGGTGGACGTTTTCCGCTGCCACCAGTGTTAGCTGCTCCCGGCTAATAATGCCCCCTCACACCGGAACACAAGGGTATTATGATTGGATAATTAGAAGTATTCGAGAAGAGTGTAGACAAGGAGAACAGGACAACGACAACTCAAGACTAGACTACAACAGAACTGGAGCATGCGCTCTTCTATGTGAGTGCTCATTGCCAAGGGGAACGAGCGGGAAATACAAATAGTGAGTATTCAGGTCGTAGCATACATACACCTATTACATATGTTATGTGCCACACCAATTTCGCTATCTGTATAATATTATGCAGCACAGTGGCAGGCATAGAGAGAGAGAGAGAGACGTTTTAATGTCTCTGATGTGAATTCTTCACTACTACATAATCTACATTGTACTTGTATGATCGAGCGTATGAGTGTGTGTGTGTACTTGTATGATCGAGCGTACAAGTGTGTGGGTGTGCATTTGCAGATTTGGTGCTTCTCTTGCGACGGGCGTATACATGGTGTGTGTGGGTGCATCCGTGAATGCCCCACGGGTGGGTAAATATACAGTCATGTACGTGTTCTGTGCCATTCAATTTCACTAACTGTATATGCAGCACAGTGGCAGGCATAGAGAGAGAGAGAGACAGAGAGATACGTTTTAATAATGTGTCTGAGGTGAATTCTTCACTACTACATGTACTTGTATGATCGAGCGTACGGATGTGTGTGTGTGTGTGTGTGTGTGTGTGTGTGTGTGCGTGCGTGTGAATGTCCCACGCATAGCCACGTGCGCGGTACCACACAATTTCATTATGTGTAGAACAGCGGCTGGTAGAGAGATAGAGACAGACAGACAGACACAGAAAGACAGAAACGGAGGGATGCTGCGCATAAAGAGCGACAGACAGAGACTCAGAGAGAAAGAGACCAAGACAAAGCACAGACTGAGGAGAAAACAGACAGAGACAGACAATCAGACGCAGAAAGACCGAGACAGAAACAGAGGGACGCACATAATGAATGACAAAAGGAGAGACAGACACAAAGACACAGAGAGCCAGAGACAGAGGGTCCTTAGGGAAAGACAGAGAGAAAAAAACTGAGAAAGGGAGAGGCAGATCGAGAAGGAAGAAGACACAGAGACTGAGAGAGGGACAAAGAAAGACAGAAGAAGAGAAGCAAACGGAGAAACAGCAACATAAGTACAGGGCCAAGAAGACAGACAAACATAGAGAGACAAGCATAGAGAGACAAGCAGAGACAGACCAAGACAGGGAGACAGCTGGAGAGTTACACAGACAAACACAGAAAGGCCGAGACGAAGATTCAGAGAAACACAGAGAGAGAGAGAGAGAGAGAGAGAGAGACGAAGAGAAGAGAGAGAGAGACACGCGCACACGCACGCACGCACGCACACACACACAGAAACAGAGAGAGAAAAGTGACAAAGTAAGAGACAGAGAAAAGTGACCGAGTGAGGGACAAAGAGAGACACACAGAGAAAGACTGAAGAAGAGAAGCAGACAGAGAAACAGAGACAGACAGATGGAGACAGAGAAACAGAAAGGAAGACAGACAGACAGACAGACAGATGGACAGACAGACAGGGACAGGCACACGGACAGAACGAGATAGGCAGACAGCTAGAGAATGACAAAGACAGGCATACAGAAAAATCAAGACACAGACAGAGACACATAGACACAGAGAGAGAGAGGCAGACAGATAGATAGATTAATAGAATAGAGAGACAGACAGACAGAGAAACATGTGGAGACACACAGATACGAGAGATTTCGTTCGTTGGATTTCTAATACTGAAGTAGTATAATACAAGTAGGTAGCAGCATAATGCACACAGATCTAGAGTGCTGAGAGTTGTCGAATGCGGCGAAAGCAAAGTGTAGTAGACACTACTGTACAGGAGTGAAGCAAAGCTGATTTGTTGTAATGCTGCCTGACTGCTTGCCTGTGTGCAATAATGAGGTGAACTCATAAAACAGTGAGCCGAAAAAAATACGATTAAAAAGCCGATTCACAAACCAGGTAAAGACAGGAAGAGAAGGAAAGATATGTGCGCATATACCCTGCACCCGTGCACGCACACACACACACACATACACACAGAAGGGAGTTGATAGGTGGAGAATTGCGAAAACAGGGGACCCAGTGTGCCCTCAAGGAGATAAAGAGATAGAGATAGATAGAGAGATATTTTTGGCACAGTATATTCGGCCCTGGTTTAAATATGGCTTTGGAATTTATTTTTCATTGCAATCAGGTTCGGCCTCATTTCTCTGTGCTGTGCTAATGAGTCCACAAAGGACGAAACAGTTCTGTCCCCAGATTGGATAGATAGATATAGATGAAGATAGAGAGAGAGAGAGAGGGGGGGGAGAGAGAGAGAGAGAGAGAGAGAGAGAGAGAGAGAGAGAGAGAGAGAGAGAGAGAGAGAGAGAGAGAGAGAGAGAGAGAGAGAGAGAGAGAGAGAGGGAAAGAGAGAGAGACATAGGCAGCTGTCTTGGTCATTATCATCCGATGTATTCCGTGTGGCGTAGACCAGGTGTGCATTGAGAATCCTTTCACAAGGCATCGCAATAATTATAATTACGGAATTGGGCAGTAATGCGGTGCTAGTCTTGATATGTTTCACTCAGGTCATGTCTGATATCGTTGGCATAAGAGAAAATCAGTGGGTGTACATCCACTGCACTTGCAAACTTGCGTGTCTCTCTTGCGACGAATGCACATGGTACTTGATGTCTGTGTCAATTGGCTCATTCTGTGGGCGAGTGGTTACTGCCTGAGTTCAATGTCGGAAAAGGTAAGTAGCTCTAGGTGCAGTATAGAGAAAATTATGCCAAATACGCGGTCATTAGGAGAGACTATACCAGCAACTTCGACTCATATACTTCAATATCTAATTGGATCTGTATAGAAGACGCTGCTCAGTGGTATTGGAGTTGTGGTTGATCAACAGCGTATCTTTTAGGTACATGTGGCATCCATTGGTCTTGTGTGAGTGACACTAGGCATGCAACCGGACAACGTTGGTGAAAGGTTTCATTACCAAAGAACTTGATTGGTTTGCCATTTAGCTTTCTGTGTGGCGTCACATCGTTTCCGTGGACTGGTTTAGATTCTTGCCCACGTTTCCAGGAGTCCAGCCAATTAATAGCAGCCGAAGCTATTTGAATAGCCAGACGTTATGTCTTCTTATCTGCTCTGCACTCCATCCGCTTGCATCAGTAAGCAATGCAAACACGTTGTCCCCTGCACAGGCATGTGACTTCTGCAGGGAATTCCGGGAGAGCGTAAAGTGGCAGGACGAATTACCGTGAAGTTGCCACATGATCTGAGTACAATCGTAGCACATCAAGTCTTGACACTACTAGTACTTGTGACATGATCAATTCTGCTATGCTCTAATGCAGACTAGCAATAAGAGGCATTTGTCAGATACTAGTAACCATGAGGTACTGAGATGATTCTCTTCGGCAAGCCACCCACTCTGCAAAAAAATGCGCCAAAATTAATAATCTGTCATCTGCCTGCTCCAACTTGACTGTCCTCCTGACAAGTGAAAACCGCTGGCGTTGTCCGGCCATAAACACCATTATTGGCATCAATCCAACGCATTAATCCAACGCCTTCGTTGCTCCTCATCTCTGCAGCTCATACCAATAGGTCTGGCACGTCGAAAAACTAAAATACTCGGAGCTACAAGCTACATTTTCAGAGACAGGGTTGCAAATGGCAAGAAACCCAGCTTCCCTTCACCTTTGGCATCACGAGCAATGACCATTTATCAGCCAGCAATGTTTTACTAGAGCAAAGGCGCTGGCGGGAACAGAAACAGCAACGTTTCTTTCTCAGCAAAAACAAATAAAAAGGAAAGGAACAAAAAAGGATCAACACCAGGGATTCGTCCATACCCGGTACCCAGGCCAGGTGTGTACTACTACTACCCCTGGAAAGGCTCTCCCACAGATTGCAGTACAAAAGCCACGGCCAAGTGTCCCACTGAGGTGCGGTCGCTTGCCCGGACCGCTGGGACGCGGACACCTACGAAGAGCAGCCTGTGACGTTTATTTTTTATGACAGAAAATCCGCAAAAAAAGTTGGGCTTGTCCCTTTAGGCTTTCGCCTCTCTATAACATGACCCAGCTGTAATGTCCGTGCTCGCATTGATTTGATTTTTGGTTGGCTTTGAGGGCGCTGGCACCCACATTCAGTGACCCAGAAAATTTGGCACTGCTGTGAATAGTTTAGTCGGAAAGTGAAGATTCACGGGTAAAAAGCCTCAATTTGTGAGATAGGCTATTTTTCAGCTTTCAGCAGCCCTGGGCGAATTCTTTAGAGACATGTGGCTGCTTTTCTTGGTGCACTTGTCTATGTCCAGCTACACAAGGACATGATGACGGTCATTGTCATTTTCTGAGCTGCGAACGGGCAGAAAGGTGAGAAAATGTCGGATTTTGACCATTTGTGCTGACCTTTGAATTTCATTGTACCTCTCTATAACATGACCCAGCTGTAATGTCAGTGGTCGCATCGAGTTGACTTTTGGTTTGCTTGGAGGGCGCTGGCACCCACATGCAGTGACCCAGATAATTTGGCACTGCTGTGAATAGTTTAGTCGGAAAGTGAAAATTCACGGGTAAAAAGCCTCAATTTGTGAGATAGGCTATTTTTCAGCTTTCAGCAGCCCTGGGCGAATTCTTTAGAGACATGTGGCTGTTTTTCTTGGTGCACTTGTCTATGTCCAGCTACACAAGGACACGATGACAGTCATTGTCATTTGCTGAGCTGCGAACGGGCAGAAAGGTGAGAAAATGTGGGATTTTGACCATTTGTGCTGACCTTTGAATTTCATTGTACCGCTCTATAACATGACCCAGCTGCATTGTGAGCGGTCGCATTGATTTGATTTTTGGTTTGCTTGTAGGGCGCTGGCACCCACATTCAGTGACCCAGAAAATTTGGCACTGCTGTGAATAGTTTAGTCCCAAAGTGAAGATTCACGGGTAAAAAGCCCCAATTTGTGAGATAGGTTATTTTTCAGCTTTCAGCAGCCCGGGGCGAGTTCTTCAGAGAAATTTGGCTCTTTTTCTTGGTGCACTTGTCTATGTCCAGCTACACAAGGAGATGAGGATGGTCATTGTCATTTTTTGAGCTGCGAACGGGCAGAAAGGTGAGAAAATGTCGGATTTTGACCATTTGTGCTGACCTTTGAATTTCAATGTACCTCTCTATAACACGACGCAGCTGCATTGACAGCAGTCGCATTGATTTGATTTTTGGTTTGCTTGTAGGGCGCTGGCACCCATATTAAGTTACCCAGAAAATTTGGCACTGCTGTGAATAGTTTAGTCGCAAAGTGAAGATTCACGGGTAAAAAGCCCCAAACTGTCAGATAGGTTATTTTTCAGCTTTCAGCAGCCCTGGGCGACTTCTTTAGAGAAATGTGGCTCTCCTTCTTGGTGCCCTTGTCTATGTCCAGCTACACAAGGAGATGAGGATGGTCATTGTCATTTTCTGAGCTGCGAACGGGCAGAAAGGTGAGAAAATGTCGGATTTTCACCATTTGTGCTCACCTTTCAATTTCAATATACCTCTCTATAACATGACCCAGCTGTAATGTCAGTAGTCGCATTAATTTAATTTTTGGTTTGCTATCCCGCGAATTATTATTATTACTATTTATTATTTGTAGGGCACTAGTGCTCGCATAGATTGGATTTTTGGTTTGCTTGTAGGCCGCTGGCACCCACATCGGGTTACCCTGAAAATTTGACACTGCTGTGAATAGTGTAGTCGCAAAGTGAAGAATCACGGGAAAAAGAGGTCGGTGTGAGTTTCTGAGCTTCGAACGGGCAAAAAGGTGAGGAAATGTCAAACTTTCGACCTGTTGTGCCCATCTTTCACGCTTCAATGTACCTCTCTATACCATGACCCAGCTCTAATGTCAATTGTCACATTGATTTGAGTTTTGGTTTGCTTGTAGGCCGCTGGCACCCACATGCAGCGACTCAGAAAATGTTGCACTTTTGTGAATAGTTTAGTCGCAAAGTGAACAATCACGGGACAAAGCTCCGAACTTGGAAATAGGTTATTTTTCAGCTTTCAGCAGCCCTGGGCGAATTCTTTAGAGAAATGTGCCTCTTTTTCTTGCTGCACTTCCAGCTATACCCAGCTGTAATGTCAGTGGTCGCGTAGGTTTCATTTTTGGTTTGCTTGTAAGTTGCTTGATCATTTTTGACAATGTGTGTCATTTCTGTTGCGCATTTCCCTTTTGTGGTGTCAGATAGAGTTCATTCACAACTAGCAAGGAGGACAACAAACGAAGAACAACATTCCAAGCAGTGTGCGAACACAAAAGGGAAGTGTGTACGAACACCAAGGAAAGTGTGTACGAGCGCATATGGAAGCAGGAGCTCTAGGCGGGTGCATACGGGGTGCGGGAGTTGCACCATATACGGAAGTATGCCATATACATCATGCCCCTCCTAAGATAAAAACGTACAAGTGTTTATCTAATCAACAAAAATAATGTGAAAATTGCATGTGCGTAGCAAATGACATGTCGCGGAGCAGCAGCAACTTCCAACAGACTTGTAAAAGGGATAATTGCAAAAATTATATACATGAAGGTTTTCAACTGCGAAACAATGGGAATGACAATTGAATAGGTACAATGGACATCAACAACTGAACAGAGCGAGTGTTAATTGTACGATTGTCCACGCGTTGAAATAATGTTAAAGGGGACATTCTGTCGCCGGGGACGTTGGCTTGTTCGAGGTGGTACCTGAACAGTTGACTGTGGCGACGACTGAGTCACAGGGACTGCTTGTGGTGCAGCGTCGGGTACGGGAGACGATGCAGGCATGGCTGTTGAAGCTGGAGTAGGAGGACGGTACGGGCGGAGGTAGCGACGGTTGCGCCAATATACGCGTCCACTCGGTAGCTTGACGTAGTAGTCGCGGTGGTCACCGATAGCCACGACAACGAAGCGGGAAGACCACCGTTTTGTCTTCGGGTGCTGAATGTCAACGTGCGTCCCGATAGACAAGTGGGGGAGCTCTCGGTGAGGCTGACTGGGAGGCTGGTCTACGCGATCAACATCATCCATGTCAGATGCGGTGTCTTGCCAGTGGGAGTCGAACTGGCTCCATTGGGCGAGAACGAAGGAGACGAGTGGGCGACCATACAGTAACTGGGCAGGACTCTTTCCCGAAGTGCCAGGAGTATTGCGCCACTCGAGAAGGCCACGCTGGAAAGCATCGGTGTCTAGATTACCATCATTGGTAGTCTTTTCCACCAGGTACTTCATTGCCTTCACGGCTGCCTCCGCATGTCCGTTCGACTGTGGGTAGTGAGGGGACGACTTGATATGACGGATTCCCCAGCGCTCGCAAAATTCAGCAAATCTGTGAGACGCAAACTGAGGACCGCCGTCCGTTGAAATGACCTGTGGTACGCCTACATCTGGGAACCACCTGCGGAAATGACGAATGACGTCAGCTGACGTGGCTGAGTGACCAAGCTTGGCGATGCATGGCCATCCGGTTAAGCGGTCGACGAATACCAAATACTCGCAACCTTGGCAACTGAAAAGGTCAGCACTAACACTTTCGAATGGCAAAGTGGGCTTGCGGTCAGAAATGGGCGGTTCGGCAGACTGAGACGGCTGAAATTCACGGCATGTATCACAGCTGCGGACTAGCGTGTCTAACTCACTGTTCATTCCGGGCCAATACACTGTCTGACGGGCACGTCGTTTGGTACGGGTCAGACCTTGGTGGGCTGCGTGAAGGTCGATCAGCGTTGACGCACGCAGAGAGGCTGGGACGACTATGCGTAGACCTTTCAGGACTATGCCATTGTCGGTGGACAAATGTTCACGCACGTTCCAATACGCACGAAGAGGCTCGGGCAGCTGCTTTTGTGCTGAGGGAAATCCGTTCTGGATATACCCAAGTAGCATCTGGTAGTCAGGATCAGATGCTGCTGCGGCACGGAGCTTAGCGAACTGGAGACTCTGGGGACCATCTTGGAGTAAACAGATACGGATACTGCGGCAGGACAGTGCTGGATCTTCTCCAAGTTCATCATCACTAGTCGGGATTGATACAGGATGCCGTGAGAGGGCGTCTGCGAATACGTGCTACATCATCACCTTTGTGTGCCGATTTCAGGAATTCACGGCGGCCAATGTCCATTTTGCAGCCGTGAATAGTCGGAAAGGTGAGAAATGGTGAATTTTTTGGAAAGATGAAGGATTAGGCCATGCAATATATACAAAAAGATATGAAAAATGTAAAACACACAGCCAGTGGGGCTCTATTTTATTTTTATGCCCAGAAATTGCTATTCACCACATAGGCAGTGCCCCTGGAAATTTGACCCTGCTGTAGCTGGCTTGAGTTCCAAGTCCGGATGTACACGCAAAATGCCCCAATCTTGGAGACAGGTTATTTTCAGGGTTCAGCAGCCCTGGGCAAGTCGTTTATGACAATGTGTGTAATTTCTGTTGTGCACTGCACTCTGTGTGCCTATTGCGGGAATTCACGGCGGTCACTGCCCATGATGCAGCTGCGAACGGGCAGGTGAGAAATGGTGAATTTTGGCCATTTGTGCGCACCTGTTCATTTCAATGTACCTGTGGGTTAATGGGCCCAGCTACAATGTGGATCACGAAATTGCTTAGATTTTTGGTTTGCTAGTAGGCGGCTTACACTAGTAGGCAGTGCCCCAGGAAATTGGACCCTGCTGTAACTGGCTTAAGTTCCAAGTCCGAATGTACGGGGAAAAGCCCCAAACTTGGAAATCGATTATTCTCAGATTTCAGCAGCCCCGGGCAGGTCATTTCTGACAATGTGTGTCATTTCTGTTGTGCACTACACTTTGTGTGTCTATTGCAGGAATTCATGGTGGTCACTGTCCTTGTTGCAGCTGTGCATAGTCGGAAATGTGAGAAATGGTGAATTTTTGACCATTTGTGCATACCTGTTCATTTCAATGTACCTGTGGGTAAATGGGCCCAGCTGCAATGTGGGTGCTGGAATTGCTTAGATTTTTTGGTTTGCTAGTAGGCCGTTTGCACTCGTAGTAAGTGACCCAGGAAATTTGACCCTGCCGTAACTGGCTTGTGTCCCAGCTCCGAATATACGGGGCAAAAAGCACCAAACTTGGAGATACGGTATTTTCAGGGTTCAGCAGCCCTGGGCAGGTCGTTTAGGACAATGTGTGTCCTTTCTGATGGCCACTACCCTCTGTGTGCCGATTTCAGGAATTCACTGCGGTCACTGTCCATGTTGCAGCTGTGAATAGTCGGAAAGGTGAGAAATGGTGAATTTTTGACCTTTTGTGGGCACCTGTTCATTTCAATGTACCTGTGGGTAAATGGGCCCAGCTGCAATGTGGATGCAGGAATTGCTTCGATTTTTGGTTTGCTAGTAGGCCGCTTGCGCTCGTAAGCAGTGCTCCAGAAAATTTGACCCTGCTGTAACTGGCTTGAGTTCCAAGTCCGGATGGAAGGGGCAAAAGCCCCAAACTTGGAGAGAGGGTATTTTCAGGGTTCAACAGCCCTGGGCAGGTCGTTTATGACAATGTGTGTCATTTCTGTTGTCCACTACCCTCTGTGTGCCTATTGCAGAAATTCACGGCGTAAATGGGGCCCGCTGCAATGTTGGTGCTGGTATTGCTTAGATTTTTGGTTTACTAGTAGGCCGCTTGCACTCCTAGGCAGTGCCTTAGGAAATTTGAAAAAAGCCCCAAACTTCTGTAACTGGCTGGAGTTCCGAGTCCGGATGCACACGCAGCCCTGGGCAGGTCGTTTATGAAAATGTGTGTCATTTCTGTTGTGTGCTATCGCAGGAATTCACTGTGGTCACCGTCCATGTTGCAGTGGTGAATACTGTAAAAGCCATATATAAAACGAAGTGCTAACTCTAACGAGTTAACGAGGAGAAATCTGTCGTTAAAATAGAAATCCTTATACTGAAATCGATACATATAATGTCCTATTCAGCATTGAGAATGAGTGAGAATCGTTACCTTTGGTACACGTAAACTAGTCAATTTTGGGAAATCATTATATATGCGCCTCGTTAGAATAATGGCTTTTACAGTAGTCGGAAAGGTGATTGGTGAATTTTTGACCATTTGTGCGCACATGTTTTTTTAATGTCCTTTGTGTAAATGGACGCAGCTGCAGTGTGGGCGCTGGAATTGTGTTGATTTTTGGTTTGCTAGCTGATTTTGTGAGGTCTGCATTTGCCACTAAGGTGGCCTGCGAAAGCGAAGGCTTGTGTGTTTCTGACCATTCAAGTGATGCTAAACTCGAATCTCGGGAATATTATTGTTAATAGTAGGCCGCTTGTACTCGTAGGCAGTTCGCCAGAAAATTAGACCTTGTTGACCCTGTGACCCCGTTCCAACTCCGCGTGCACGGGCGAAATGCCCGAAACTTGGAGATGGATAATCTTGAGCTTTCTGCGGCGCATAATGCGTTTGATTTCTGTGGTGCACTACCCTTTGTGTGCCTATTGCAGGAATTCACGGTGGTCATTGTCAGTGTTGCAGCTGTGAATAGCCTGAAACATGAGAAATGGTGAACTTTTGGACCATTTGTGCGCACCAGTTGGCCAAGCTGCAATGTGGGTGCTGGAATTGCTTTGACATTATTTTGGTTTGCTAGTACGCCGCTTGTACTCGTTGGCAGTGCCCTAGGAGATTTGACCCAGCTGTTACTGGCTTGAGTTCCAAGTCCGGAAACACGGGCAAAAAGCCCCAAACTTGAAGATGGTTAATTTCAGCTTTCAGCAGCCCAGGCAAGTCGTTTATGGCAATGTGTGTCATTCCTGTTGTTCACTTCTCTTTAGTTGGAAGGTTGAGAAATTGTGAATGTACTGTCGTGGACGTGCAAATCCGGTCGCACGTCTAGCGGCCCCAGGGCGCTAGCCATGCAGCCGAGGATAAGCGGAATGCTGAATGTATATGCACTGCAGCGCGCTGGTCGCATCGGATCAACATGACTGCACGCAGCGTTCTGTACGCGCTGAGGGCGGCGGTCCCGGTCAATCGACTGGATTTCTATGTCCGCTACAGTACCTGTGTGTAAATGGGCCCAGTTGCAATGTGGGTGCTGGAATTGCTTTGATTTTTTGATTTGCTGGTAGGGCCGGAAAGAAAGAATTTGGTACAGCACTCACACTTTTCCCTTAACATACCAACACTCAAATACCCACCCACACACATGTACCTCACCTGCATTTCCCCAATCTACACTTACTTCAACACTACTCGCTGCTCACGTAATAGCGCATCCAATAGTGCTAGCTTTAGATTATCAGTGTTGGTTGTATCAGTTTTACTTCGAAGTAGATCTAAACTTTATGGTACCATAATCAATATTTTTCCTTCGTCGTCCAACTCTCGGTGTGATGAAGATTTCGTTCAAATCATATTGTCCTGTTGTTCTCAAGTATGAGTGCGAACACTTTACTTTCATCGATATGAAGATTCTTGCCTGCCGACTTTTTGATCATTTTTTAGCTTATCCTACCTCTGAACTTCCCACCTGAAATGTTTGGTCAACCGCCCTCAGCTACCATTATTTTATTTTATTCCAAGCAATACATGGCTGGGGTAGCCAATGACCACTTTGCGTGGCGATTGCAGGGTTTTTATAGCCAACCACGGCTATCATGCACAGAGTGCAAAATAATTGTGTACGGGTTCATCACATGATGTGAAGTTCTGCCGTCGCGGACCCCATACTCCATAGACTAGAGTTGCACACTCTTGGGGGTTATGTACTCTTGATGTTAGGCATCTGAATGTGTGGTGGGCATCTGAACGTGTGGTGGGTATCTGAACGTGTGGTGGGTATCTGAATATATGGTGGGCAACTGAATGTGTGGTGGGCATCTGATTGTGCGGTGGCATCTGAATGTGTGGTGGGCATCTGAATGTGTGGTGGGTACCCGAATGTGTTGTGGGTATCTGAATGTATGGTGGGCAGTGGGCATCTGAACGTGTGGTGGGCATCTGAATATGTGGTGAGCATCTGAATGTGTGGTGTGTATCCGAATGTGTTGTGGGTATCAGAATGTATGGTGGGCATCTGAATGTGTGGTGGGCATCTGAATATGTGGTGGGCATCTGAATGTGTTGTGGATATCTGAACGTGTGGTGGGCATCTGAATGTGTGGTGGGCATTTGAATGTATGGTGGGTATCTGAATGTACTGTCGTGGACATGGAAATCCGGTCACACGTCTAGCGGCCCCAGTGCGCTGGTCATGCAGCGTGGATAAGCGATACACATGCATTGTACTAGTAAGTAGTATGCGGTCTAGTGCGCTGGTCGCATCGGATCAACAAGACTTGCACTGCAAGCAGCGCTCTGTACGTGCTGAGGGATTTCCATGTCCGCTACAGTACATGTACATGACTGTGCACATGTATGGTGGGCATCAGAATGATTGTATGGGTGGGCATCTGAATGTATGCTGAGCATCTGAATGTATGCTGGGCATCTGAATGTATGCTGGGCATCTGAATGTATAGTGGGCATCTGAATGTATGGTGGGCATCTGAATGTATGGTGGGCATCTGAATGAATGGCGGGCATCTGAATATGTAGTGCCCTGCCTTGCTAGTACTGAACTGTAGCTGACTACTTATAGCGTATATTTTATTGTATTCCCGTACGTCTGTCGCCCTATAAAAGCAGCTGGGCGTTACTGATTTCTACACAACTGATTTCTGATTTCTAAAACTGCAACAGAGCCGAGCAGAAGAGCTGTTCTGACCTCCAGGTGTCCACCGGAGAAGGTTTCTTTCTTGCCGCTTCTCTTTCTTGCCTTTTTACATGTAATCAGGTGTGTACCTGAGAAAGTTCGATTTAAAGTGAATTCGTGTTGATTGCCGTGCCTCCACTCGGCTACCCACTACGAATGTCTTGTGGGCATCTGAATGTATGGTGGGCATCTGAATGTGTGGTGGGCATCTGAATGTGGAGTGAGGGCATCTGAATGTATGGTGGGCATCTGAATGTATGGTGGGCATCTGAGTGTGTGGTGGGCATCTGAATGTATGATGGGCATGTGAATGTACATGTACATGTATGGTGGGTATCAGAATGTACTGTACGGTGGCAGTGTTGCCAACCGCCCGCATTTGTCTGTAGTTTTGTCCGCAGTATGGATTTCAATCGAATTATTTAATTATTCCGCAAACTATCGTGTATGATAGATTACTAAAACCTTTGTGTTGGGTTCAGTTAGACAAGACAACATTGGTGCTAGTTTCAGTTCTTGTCCAAAACAAACTCAAATCAAATACCCGAATCCAAAAACCTACAATTGTAGTGTACGAAACTGTGCCCATGCGCTTGGACATCAGTAAGCACGCAGAACTTTTGTTAGCGATGACATGAGAGATCCGCTCACAAAACATGCATAAAACACAGAATAACAATAATAAAAAAGAGACCCATGACGCATAATGTACACAGCACATACATGTACATGTACATGTACATGACGTTACATTGTATTAATAGGTGGGAATCACACTCCTGTGATCACAACACTTCGTAACTCCATCGTTTCTTGTGCAAATTCAACACTCGAAGGGTCTACGTGGTAGCGAAACCTCCAAGCTGTCCAATGCAACAGTCGCCGAAGAGTGACGATGTTGGATTCCAGAGATATCAAGCGCCGTGTTCCGGTATTCCTAGCTCGGCAGATCCAAATTTTTGATCGATCTCTTCGTCATGTTTGGAGAAAATGCCTTTTCGCATGCTCTTGGAGCGACTGAGCACATCATTATGGCGTAGCCGGTTGAAGTCTGAATTGCGTCAAAAACATTTGAGCGTTCTGTGATGAAGGAGAGTGGAATGGTGATGATGGGACAAATATGCTTGCATATTAGGCTTGAAGACGACTTAGCTGTGTTACGGCGCCTGATTTGTGGCAGCTTCATAATGGCGTTGCTCCTGCCAAGAGCTTTCCAACGAGCCCTAGATTGTGATAATCAAGCTACGTAGACCACGGTTATGACCTGGTGAGGTTGAAAATTGTACTGAATTTGTGAGGTTCACAAGTGAACTCTGTGACTGGAAAAGTAGTTGTACAGTATCTCGTTTGTTCCTCCAAATTACACTACAAATCAGTCAAAATGTTGACCCAAAAAACGAGGACGCAAAACTGAAAAATGGCACTGGGAAATACGCTTGGGGGTAGAGCGCATTTGGTAACACTGTGGTGGGTATCTGAATGTAGGGAGGGCCCAAATATGCTTGCGCATATTTTGGTCCTTTTGACACAAGGTCGGATGAAGTACTTGGTCCGCCCAGTTAAAATTGGCGCTTATCTTCTCACTTGTTTTTTTGGTGTTCTGCCTGTGCCATACGGCATGGAACCGCCGATTCACCATCCGAACATGACCATTGACCATTGCATCCGACGACATGGCAGCACAAACCATCACAGAAGTTGCGATCAGTTCGTTTGAGTCTTTTTGACGGAGCTGCCGCCGACGAACACTTCCGTCAGCGCAAGAAAACACTGCAACCTCCGCTCGAGTCCGTAAAATAGGTCAGGATGTTCGCATTTCAGAGCGATGGAGAATACAGTTTCTGTCTACTTCCAGCTGTCTGATGGCAAGGATTGTTTACTCTGGGGAGGTATAGAAAAGCTGAAAAAGCGCTTCGCGAGCTTGAATTTCAGTGCTTGCACAGTACAGCGCCTAGTGAAGGGCTATCACCAGCAAATCGCTGACGAAGAAACTGCAGCTCATGTCGATGTCTCCAGTAAGTGAGACCAATCCGGCGGACACACTTTGAAGCTCACAGAGGACAGGGCAAAGGAGCTAATCAAAGGAAACACCAAGTCCTGAGAGAAACACTCGTGCAAAGGACTTTCAGGAAACTAGCCGAAAAGCCTGGTGCACGGCGTTGTAGGTGCAGTACGCACAGGTGCTACATCAAGCGGAAGCTATCACTGCGCTGCATGTACAAGCACCAGCGGCTCGCGTGGGTACGGGTGCTGATCAGCAAGTCCGACAAGCGCAAGAGGCGATTTGAAAAAAGGACACTGATATGGCGTTGCCTTTTTGTCTCAAACAAAGTCGCATTATTGCGACGAACGGGGATAACACAGTCAACATGCGGGCAGTCTCACTCAGCTTCTGATGGGAAGGTGACAGGCACGCACTGCCTTTGAGCGTGATTCGAGACGAGGAGAAGCGGAACAAGCTATGAAACGACCTGTACAGCAGCTGTCCGGATCGTACGTTTTGAGCTCTACCTCCAGCGACGATAGTGGCGAGGAAGATGTGTAACTTGCTTGAATTTTCGACTGAGTTGCTTACTGACATGTAAATAATCATGTATATAGTGCTTTGTGACCGTAGCTTGCTTCAAATATTAGTATTTCTTTCCTGAGACAAGTGTGAAGATAAGCGCCAATTTTAACTGGGCGGACCAAGTAGCAAATCTAGCATACGAAATGTAGCATATTTTGCTACAAGGAGCATAGAATTCGCATAATTATAGGGCAGATTGCGGAAATGGACAAGGAAACTTACCACGGCACGCTCGGTCAGGGAACACTTCCAAACTTAGCCCGGAAGGAAAAATGCTCATTCAAACACGTGGCGAAACTTTGACCCGAGAAGAGAGTGTCCGCACTCAAGGTCGCATAAAGTAGCAAATCTAGCATATTGTACCAAATGTAGCATATTTTGCTACAAGGAGGAAAGAATTCGCATAATTATCACTGATATCAGTTCATATTTCGAGCATATTATTCTGCTTTTGTGTGATTTCGAAGCATATTTTGAAACAAATGGCCAATATGCGAAAAGCATAATATGCGAAATTTTTGAGCATATTTGGGCCCTCCCTATCTGAATGTATCGTGGGCATTGGAATGTGAGCCGCGCCAAGCTAAAAAGTGGCTTAGCGTTTTGCCAACAAATCGAGAAAATCACCAAAACGTCACAGTTGGCAACAATCTACTCGAGCGCAGTTGCAAAAATATTCACTTTCGAGCACCCTTTCAAGTAAATAGTTTGCCAGTCGAGAAGAAGAAAGAGGACTTTCTATTTTTGAGCAACACTTCTTCAGTGCTCCCTCTTTCATCGTTGTGGTGATTTCTCGGCGCTGCCAGAGATCATAATGGAGCGTTCTGGAGAATGTGGAGGTGAGCAGGACGACACTTTATCTCCCTGTGCGCCCAACCCTACTTGACGAGGAAGTCTCGCTCATTCATAATGACCGTATTTCTCATCGTGGCCATGACGAGAGCGGCTAGTATAGCTATGGGGAGACGTATACAAGCTGTCCGACTATCATTCTGACAAGCTGCGTAGTGAGTTGGCTCTTGCTGCGATGTTTCACTTTGTTTCGGCTACTTTCAGATGTTCATGACGTGGCGTACTGTATTCCAAAATCTCCTCATTTCAAGGCCAATAGTGCTACACGACGAAGCGATGCATTGACTCTACCTGCTAGCATATCGTCCCGTGGTGCCTTCTACCACTACCTACACCAGGGAAGGAGAGTGACATGGACTAGCACGGACAAAGAATCAGTGCCGCTTTTTAGCGATGTGCAGTCTGCTGGACCTACGTGCAAGGGACCAATGGAGCTCGATCTCTGGCACAACACTACGAGCTACATGAAAGGATTAGTAACTGTTCATTCTGGTGTAGGTGATTGGAGAGAGTATGACGGACTATCTTGGTA